ATGTGGCGGGACGTAGTGAAATCAGGCGCTCGTCAATTTTTGGACATGTGGAGTTTTTTATAACATCTTGTTCATTTGTAGTGCTTCCAACGAACGTAAAAATTACCGATCTATCTTGTATATAAGTCGAGATATTTGCAATTGGAGAAAGTTGGGGTTTGGGGGAGGGGGTGTGGAAGTTCGCCTGGTTTCAGAAGTAAAACTAATTTAATGAGAAAGTGGCCGCCAAAGTTGTTGACTTTCAAAGCTGGAGAGTTTTTAGAAACTGCAAATTTACACATTTTGTGCGTTTGACCAACGTTTTTCCAGTTAAACCACCACATAAATGTGCTTTGAAATAGACTTAAAAAGTGTTAAGCCAAGAAAAAAATCATTTAAAAAATTGCCCAACCGCAATAAAAAAGTCAATTTCTTTGACATAACCTTTTATTATAATTATAAGATAGCAATATTTTTCAGCTACGGACAATCTCCAGTAAATGTGTCACGACGGGCTGGAATCAGGCGCTCGTTAATTTTTGGCCATTTAGAGTTATTGGTATCTTCTTGAAGCTTGTTCATTTGTATTGCCTTCGATGAAAAAAGAAAACCCAACCATTTTGTCTTGAATAGAAGTCAAGATATTTGCGATTGATCAAGGTAGGGTCACCTGGTTTCAGATGTAAAGTTAGCGAGAAAATGGCCTCTACGGTTTGGTGATTCCCATAGCTTGAGAGGCTTTGGAAACTGAACATTTACCATTTTTCCACCGTGAAATTCACATTAGAAATTGTTAGATAAGTTAGAAAGGGTGTTGAGCCATAATAACAAAATTCTAAAAACAATTGGCCAACGCCCAGAAAATGTCGGTTTCTTTGATTTCATTATTTTGACGAGCGCCTGATTTCACCACGCTGGCTCACATATTTCACCATAGCGGAGGAAGTTCTTGGATTGTAACAGAGTCATGTGAAGAGAAGATTCAAGGAGAAACTCGGACGGCCATGAGAAAGTTAAAGGACACAAAATGGAAAAAGCTGCACGCAAGACGAAGACGCTACACATGTCAAAATGGAGGTCCAGAAGAAAATACAAAGAAAGGATTTTTTTTTAAGTTAAAAGGTGGGAGGGGGGGGGGGGTGAGGCAGGAGCTGGGCGAGAAAAAACAATCGAGAATACACGCTATTAAAGCACAAGAAGCAGCAAATATAAACGGTATGACAGAACTTGACGAAATATTTTATTACCAAAAGACTGATTGGTGACTTTGGAAAATCATCAGATGGTGTTCAGTGGGGAGAAAATAGTACCATATCAACAACGATTATAAGAAACAACGATAGGCAGGCATTTTCAATAAATTTTGAAAAGACCACCCCCACCGAATGAATTCAACTTTGGCGAATTGCAGACAATAGAAGAATGGAGCATGGACACGCATGAAATAACCATGTCGGAAATTTAATCAGCTGTCGTGAAAATGAAAAATAAGACGCTCACACCATTATCAAGTTCAAGGATAGAGAGAAGATAGTGGCCGCATACTCCAATGGAAAGTTTGCTCCGGATCGAAATAAGATGAGACTACCCGATGCAAATGCTGTGGACCAAGCTCTTTTGATGTTGTTTAAGGAGGCAAGGAGAAAGTTGGTGCCAAAACCCCTGTTCGTGGGTACTTGTGGCAAGGGCAACTACCCATGAATAAATACGCCTGGATTAGTCCACAAAAGCTTACTTTCCTTGCATTTTTGATTTTACAGGGGTGGGATATAACAGGACATTTTCTCTACTCCCACCATCCCTGTTATATCAGGTTTCCACTGTATATGTGGCAACGAAACAGTTTTGACTGTTGCACACATTATCTCTGTTGGTAGACTCTGCCAGCCTCACTGTTAGCTTACTTAATCAAAGCTTGCGACTGCTCATGGAGTGGCACGATAGGGGTGAACAGGCTATTTCCGTGGCAATGAAACCGTTTTGAATGTTAGGCATAATGTTCATTGGTGATTATGGGCATCTTTTTACGTTTAGTTTATGAGGTTTACGTCTATGGGTGAATTTGGCTGCGACAATATTTAAAAATTAGGAAGGAAAGCTGTGATTATTTGATTATATAGACGCTTCGCCACTGGGTGGAATGGCCCTCCTCCAGTTCGTATTCTGTTTTTGAATATATGTGGTCCACATAATTCCAAAAGGCTTTGGAAGCTTGCCTTCGTCTTGCGAAAATATTATGCTAAGCTTTTTTTCGTCATCATCAAGAATTTGGTGCAATATTCTAAATTCTCCTGTTTTGCCTTGGGTTTTTTTATGGAATGTACCCAGAATCGACGGCGATCTTGTATACATGATATACCTCCTCTTCAACCGCAACCTTAAAAAAATCTTTTTCTTCTTTGTTAACGCAATTTCTCTAGATCTAGTCTGTCTTGGTCTGGTGCGCTTAAAAATGACCGTACGTGTGAGGAGGCTGTGGAGACGGTCTACCCGCTACGTTAACGTACGTTATTTGTGATGAAGCGGAAGTGCTGACGCTGTGGACCCACTGACCTAAAACTATATAGGTCAGTGTGTGGACCCCGGCTCAGGTTAATAAGGTGTTTGCTTCTCATTCAAAGGTCCATGGTTCGAATCCGGGTAGCAACCGACCAATTTTATTCTCTAAAATTTGTCTTCTTTCACCTCCATTCCTGCTCTAGCAATGTTCTGTCGTCTGCTTTCGTCTCCTCTTTCTGCCCCCACCTCCTCACCTCCTTTGCCCCCTCCTCTCGGCTCCTGACTTTTTCTGCAGCCTTTCTACGGCTACTCCTTGACTCCTTATTCTTACTGCTATCTTTCAGCCGCACCCCTGATTTTCTGGTAGAAACGATCTACATTGATCATTTAGCTTTCTCGGACAAGAGCGCAAAATCTTGGAGGTCCAGTGTGCAAGTAGCGCACGTTAAAGATCCCTTGGTGGTCTAAAATCGATAAGAGTAGGCTTCGGCCGCAACCCGGGCAAAATTCAAAATTTCCCACCAACTGAAAATATTCAGTGTGTCCCACGCGCTCATATGGCCTTCTGCAGTTGCCAGCGCCGTAAAACACTTACAAAAAAGAAAAAAAAAAAAAGAAAAGAAAAATCAACAAGGAGTAAAAGTTCTTGGAAAAAAAGCAATGAGCTGCTTGTCCTTATTTCTTCAACAACTCATGAGTTTTTGATCTATGGTCGATCAGTCAGTGGAGTCGGGTTGTGGGGGTTGTTGTAGGGCGGGAGACTTGCCCTGATCAGTTAATGAGCTCGCTCAGATTGTGATGGAAGAATTATGACCAAAGAGCCTGTAGATTAATTTAAAGAATAAAAAAACAAAAACAAACGAGAACATGAACATATAAAAATAAGTTCAAACATTATTATATAATATTAATATAAACTCGTTAGTTGCAACACTACGTTCCAGACCACGAAAATAGACTCATCTATGCGTCTTTATACATCTAGCCTACATAATTAGGCTTAACTAGGCTACTTATTCAGTATTTTTTTTCTTCTGTTGAGCAAATCTGTCAATGACTTTTTGTTTGAACTGCGATGAGAATCTTTGGATCTCTTTAGCTTTCCTTTCACAGAAGAAAGCAAAAATGCTGCTGATTGATGTGATAATACATGTATCACGGTCTCTTGGCTATGAGCTTATACGATAATATAATGAACGTTAGCGAGTTTCCAATAAGTATTCTTCACGATCGAGCTAGATTAAAAGATTTAAACAATATTACATTCTAATTTAAAACTAACTCAATAACTTACTGATCCAAAACAAATGTGATTATTTATTGCATTGTTTGCCCTCGCTTCATACAGAGATTAAAAAAAAAAATATTGCTAGAGTCTTACTGCGCTCGCAACTGCACGATCTTCACACACAGAGCTCTCCAGCCCTCAGTACAATGACAATGTGCATAGATAAAGATACAGACAGGCAGACACAGATCCTGAATTTTTACTGAATTTTCTATTCCAATTTTCGAGACAGTAATTTAAAAAAAAAAAAAAAGTCTTCTGATATGTCTTTATATTTTTCCTAATATGGGTACAATTAATATACACCACCATAATTATGACTCATTCATAAGGGGGTATAGTATAGGTACAAATCATTGACATCTTTGATCTTTGTAATACAAGCTTAGGCGTGCCTTGATGATTCACAGTCGTTGGACTCTTAAAATCCTGACTTTAATTTCTCTTTTTGTTCAACATGTGATCTGCACAAAACACAGGTTGAAACTTAAAAGTCAACAAAGTTATTTTGATATGTACCACCCCCACCCCTAAAATAAATCAACGCGCACAATAAACGATTGCGCACAGAAATGCATAGATCTAGATATATTGTCCATTCATTACAAATAAAAAATGTGATTACTACTTTCACTTTCACTTTCTTAATTTTCTATCGCCTTTTTCTTTTCATTCTTAGTAATAATTAATATTTTCTGGTCTCGGAAATACCTTGCCTCTTTTACTGAGAGGAGAGTAACATTGAGTAAACTGCGGTTGGAAGAAACGAAAAGGACGGTTCAGAACGAGGGGAAAAACCAAAGTAGATCTAGAGAAGAAAGTTTGGCGGGCATCGTATGGAATCTGCTGCGGCCTGTAACTGTAACGATCTCGTTACGAGCACAGGAAGTTTGTATCAGCCAATCAACTTTTGGCTGCCATCTGCCTATTTGTAGGCTATCATCATGTCTCGATAACTCTTATGTCAACTTCCGTTACGCCCTTCCTTCCTTGTTGACAGTGACACGACCTCGTCTGGTGGACACATCACAGTTTTCAAATTCCAGGTAGATATCTTGTGTCTTTGAGTTTTGTTACTAGATCTAGATCTAGAAAATCACACTGACGTTTGAATTATATTTAAAATTTGGCCTCGTTAAATTTTACTTGCGAGTCTTGAAAGTGAAAGACCTTTCTGCCTTCTCTCGACGACTGTTTTTTTGTGTTGTTGGGTAGGCAGCCCGACTCGGCACTGCACTAGACTAGATCTAGATCTAGATTCTAGATCTACTGCACTGTCACTTACTGGTCATTGTCAGTAGACTCTCTAGCTGCTGTAAACACTAATTGCTAGAAGAAGAAGACTTGTTGTTGTCACTGTCATTGTCAGAAGCATTATGACAGATCATCATTGACACACATTGAATAATTGTAAAACACAGACAGATCTACTCTATAGTATAGACTAGAATACTAGATTTAGATCTATAATCTAGATCTAGAGTAGGCCCGCATCACCGCGCTACTGTTTGGGTGCGCAACCCCCGGTCTCCTGCTTTGTTTTGGATAAGAACAGCGAAAACGAGGTCACTTTCTGTGAGCATGCGCAGAATGCAGCTTATTTCACTTTCGTTTTGGAGGTTCCTGTCAACACACGTGATTCTACGGTGTCGGAAAGTTTTGCCCCTTCATATTAATGGTTTTCGTAACCGGTATCGGTCAATTTACTAAGCGCTTGAGTAGTCGATTATTTAGCATTTAGCACATCTCGCTAATCTAGCTCTAATGTATCGTAGAATGTATACTAGAATCGATAAATACTATCGCAGGCTGCTTCTTAATGCCCAGGAACATGCCAGATAGGGTTGCGCACTGAAGCGGACCAAATTTGGGCAGTCCGTTTCAGTGCGCAATATCGACTTTTTTGCTATTTGGCATTGATAGTGTGGCTTCTAGAGGCCCTTTGTTTGTTTTCCTTATTAAGTTATTTCTTTATGACCTGCATTGTGCACTGGAACAGACTGTTTTCCTTCCATTTGGATGCATTATATTGCCATTGGAAGATGATAAGTTAATGTATTCATGTCAAAATTAATTAATATGGAAATTATAATCTCCAAAATGTTCAATTTCTTCTTTTCATGTCTTTTTCTTCTTCTTTTTTGCCCTTTTCCTTAAAGAATACTAGTCTAGGTATAGTCTAATTCTTGTTTTCTTCTTTCACTTCCTTGTGTCCACAGCACCTTTCTTTTTCAATTTCTTCTTTTCACGTCTTTTTCTTCTTCTTTTTTGTCCTTTTCCTTCTAAAATACTAGTCTAGGTATAGTCTTATTCTTGTTTTCTTCTTTCCCCTTCTTGTGTCCACAGCACCTTTCTTTTTATCCATTATCAAAACACATACACAAGGTGTAAGGAAATCTCCTGTCAGGGGGCGCACAGCTCCCAAAAAGAACACGCCTAATTGACCTTGGCCTTCCATTATGGTCAGTACAGGAACTTCTTGCAAGGAAAAGAAGACAAGGCAAGGATAGAGAAAGATGAAAAGTGTCAGAAAAGAGCTAGATCTAGATCTAAAGCTGTAAACATGGTACTATTGCGCACCCAACAAGACGATATGTTGCACCAAACCAGAAACCTTGCGCACCAAACCAGACACACGTTACCAAACAGACACCACCACAACATATAGAAATTTTAAACTGCTGTTACAGTAATGCGCTACACCGTATAGAGAGGAAGTTTTTCTAACTTTTCTGGTGAAAAAATCATGAAGATCGACCTGTAACTTCCAGAGATGTCCACAAAAGATCGCTTACTGTATATCGCACCACAGGATGTACTCTAGATCTATGTCTTGGATCTAGATTTAGATCTAGATATAGATAGTCTAGAGTCTAGTCTAGATCTAGATCTAGATCTAGATTTAGATAGATCTAGATCTAGATTGAGATTTTCTAGATCTAGAAAATAATAGCCTAGTCTATGGCCTATCCTATAACCTTCTAAGATGGTTTCCTTCCAGCTAGTTTGTCTAAAGTCTAAAGGAAGTGGCTATCCTCACCGGGGTGAGAATAAAAATACGATCTACCTCTCACCAGACTTGCCAGCGTAGGCTATTCTTACCCGGTGTGAAACAAGACCTGTTTTTCCTAATTTCGGAATACTGTCTAGATCTACTGACTACTGTCTATCGGTGTGGATGATCAAATTGATAAAAAAGCCAAGAAAAAATTACGTTTTATAGCACAAAAGTAAGCTAATTTGATCGTCTTCAAAGATGCTATGGCTATTTCACTTTTCAAATCGAGCCAAACTACGCGGGTCACCATTTTGTTTTGCCCGGAAGTTCTCACGCTACTCCTCTCTCTCTCTCTTTCTCTCTCTCCACTGTCCACAGAGACAAAATTGCACGCTTTTAGTTAGGCTAACTCTAACATAGTAATAGATCTAGAACGTTTGTTCACGGCACAGAATTCTACAATTCTGTTAAAATAGTGTAGAATTCTGAGAATTCTGTGGTTCAGGGTGAACGCTTCACTGGTTGGCCTAGGCTAGAGTAGGCCTATAACGGTGAACGCCCACCGGGTGAGGATAGCCAAAAGACTCGCTTGCGCTATTCTCACCCCGGGTGAGAATAGAGGTGGCCTTGTCTAAAACAGCATTAAGTTCATTAAGTTTGACTAAGACAAGACACTATTAATTAAGAGTTACAAGGCCCATCCTATGTTGTGTTAAGGCTGGTATTTCCTTTTGGATTGGAATGTTTTATTCACATGAAGCTGCAGCGAGCACCTAGCATATATACCTCTGTGATTTGCCCAAATATTTGAAATATAGGGAGATGACGTATTCCGCCACCTATTTTTGTCATTTTCTGGGGCTTCCCTCGCCAGTTGACTTGATGATCTCACCGTGGGGGGCCCTCTTTGCCGCTCAGCGCGCGATGTGCTTCGACACTAGATCTAGGTTTCATCGCCAACTGCTTCAGCTGTGTGTGTGCGCGCGTTCGTGTGTGTGTGTGTGTGCCCGCGCTTGTGTGTGTGCTTGTGTGCGCGCACGTGCTCGTATGTGTGTGTGTGTGGTCGCGCTTTGTGTGTGTGTGCTCGCGCTTGTGTGTGTGTGTGGGTGGGTGTACAAATTTGTGGAGAAGGTAAATTTATGGAACGAGAATTACTGAGATTGTTTATAAAAGATAACACACAAATCAAAAATAGCCTTCCTAAAATAAGGCTATAAAAAATTGTGAGGACCGGTAAGTATCAGATCTGATGCGTTAGCTGCTCTTGACATTTGGTTGTTGGAATACATAGATCTAGATTTCTAGCCTTAAAGTGCAGCTCGTTTTTTGTTTGTTTGTTGTTTTTTTCCACTGTTGTTTGCTGTGAAATGGCCTTCACCCAGCCCATTGAAAAATAAAGTAAACCTGAAACTTATTTGTGTACACAACGTATAAGTTGTGCTGTTCTCTGTGTGTGTTTGTGAGGTCAACTGTGTGTAGCGCACCTGTGGCCTGAGGGGGGTGAGAATAGCGAGACACAGGCTATTCTCACCGCTGGATTTGAAATGGATAGAGTTGAGGCCCTTGTAATCCTTCATGAATCCAATCCACTAATCCAGCAAGTGTGAATGATATATTTTCAAGAGTTGTTGACTACAGTGGAATTCAGTTATAACGAGAGGGAGTGGACTGGTGCAAACCATGCGTTACAGCATGATTCTTGTTGTAAGGGTTCCAGTGATAAATTCAAGGGAAATAATACAGTAGTTGTAGGCCTTTGTTTCTTTTTGTAATCTCCTCTTAAGATGATTTGGTTCAACATGATCTCTAGGTCTTACTTGATAAAAAATCGAAGATTTCTTTCTCTAGCACTAGCGATGTTGACAGCTTGGCGTTGGCGATGAGAAAGAAGGGCCCTGGCTCTAAGCCAACTCCCCACTGTGTTGTCCCCCACCCCACCACACCCCACCACACCCCACCACACCCCACCACACCCCACCACACCTTGTGGTGCGTTCTGTCTGCTCGTGCACGTCACACGTTCGCTCCATCCATCACAGCATTGTGACCTCTCCGTCCCGCATCGGAGAAGTGAGAGGCGCGGTAGGCCTAGATAATCTAGACTAGGCTGGCCTATCATGCCTTCTGCTTGTCTGTGCATACCACTTCCTCCCCACTCATTCGCTCCGGCCTTCATTGTTGGCAAACGTGGGCTCTCCCATTCTTTGTTTTGCAAGATCACCAACAAGTTTCTCAACTGGCGAGGTTTTACATTAATAAATGGCCTATAGATGCACTGTGCACAGCAGCAGCAGCAATATTCCGCTATAATAACCGACTCGCATGTTTGTCTGATTGCGCTATAGCAGTATTTTATTTACAAAGATAAAGAAGGAAAAAGAACTGAGTTTTAGAATTGTGTCTTTATAACAGACTTCTCGTTATTTCAAGATCAGGACTCGTTATAAGTGGATTCCACTGTAATGGCTTTAAATTTTATAAAGATAGGCCTAACTTGATCATGTGAATAATATTGGGCTTCATCTAGATCTTTAACTTTCATTTTGATATCACTGAGTTTTAACTATTCGCAGCCCTGATGCCAGCCCGTGGGTGATACGGTTGACAAGTGAAGAAACGGAACAGTTTAACTGCCCATCCCAGCATTTCCTGTGGTTTATAACCTTTTGGTCAGAGTCAAACTGTATTGATGGTCTACACAATGGGAGACAGGAATCTCTACTCCAAACTGATGGTGGATGTCGTGATTGGGCCCACATTAGATAAGGTAAGCACACAGATTTTCTTCAGTTGAATAAAAATAAAATGTTGTTATCCATTCTCTACTCTCTTCTCCTGATGGTTTGTCTATTTGCTTTTTTCTTTAAAGTTATGATATTATAGCGTGTAGACATTCTCAGCTGTTATACTTGTAGGAAGAGAAACTGTTGATCTTCTTTGCTCAATAAGTGTCAACATTTTAAAAATATGTTATAATACACCATTTGTGCGGGGGGGGGTATGAGTAACCCCCATAATGCAATCCCTGATGTTTACACATTGAAGAGGTACAATTCAAGAAACCTGGAAGCATAAAAATATTATTTTTGTTTGAATCGCTGCCGCACTGTAGTCTCAATCTGGCATCGGCGTTTGTTGCCATTTTTTGGTCCAAAAGTTGCCAGTGGCAAAAGTTGCCAAAAAAGTTGCCAGTAATTTTCTAACTTTTAACTGTGACGACGTATATAGCAATTATGTTGACAGAGGTAACAATCTAAAGCACCAGAATTTCTTGTGTTCTGTTTTAAGCATCCAGAACATTATTTGTAGTCACCCAGAGTGTAAAAACGTGAAAAATAAAGGTTTCACAACAGAATGTAATCAAAATTAGAACAGCACGCATAAATAACCACAAAAATTAACAAATTGGGGCGCGTCGACCTATCTGTAGATTGGCTGTTTTAACCCTAAACGTGTGTAATTAAAGAAAAAGTAGGCCTTCAGGATATTACATGTAAATTATGGAGTCACGCACAATTGGCGTGTGCCAGTGTCGGCATTCGGTTTTGGCGGAGACACGCTCTAACATAACACATTTATATTTTTAAAAGGGTAGGAACGGCATCAAAATAAATGACATTACGCTGTATAAACACTCACAAAAAAAGAAAAACAAATCATTGGAACAGTTTTTAGACAAATTAACACACCACCAAATTCAAACTCAACAAAGAGGGAAAAATTAAAGACAAACAGCAAAATAATAAACAGTATGTAGTGTAGTGTACTTCTAGTATCTGCATGAAAATAGATCTAGACACACATGGACATCTGAAAACTTATCAAAGCACATTTCTGATATGTGATGAAGTAGCTTTGTTGTTTTGTCGTTTTGAAAAATGCTAAATTCACGGACCCAAAAATGCCTAAAATGGCGGCCGCGACAAACGCAGATGCTAGCTCAATAACTGTTGACTTTCTTTAAAAGTATCATGAACTGTTTTGCTTGGGGACAAGTAGCACATTTGTAAGCCACCGTTCTGTTTTTGCTGCTGCTGCTCAAATGCTTTAGCACTTCCTCTGGAATTTGTTTTTCAGTTGGAGAAGAAGGACATATCTGCTGCACAGACGCTCCGCAGAGCAATCACAAAGGTTGGTGTCCTTGACATTTTGAAGTCATGAAAGCCGAGGAAGAGCAAACTTGTTTTGTTTGGTGACATAATAATAATAATAGATAGCCTTTGTATAGCGCACATCCCCGCTCAACAGTCGGCTGTATGCGCTTTACACTATATTATGTTACACGACATAGAGTTTGTCTTCAAGTTGAGTTTTTCCTTTGAATTGAAGAGAACCCTTTGTGCTCTTGAGAAAAAAAAATATTGTTGTTGTTGTTGTTGGCTGTTTTTTAAAAACTGATTGTTAAATTTTTAAATTCATAACAGCCTGCCTCCTTAATGGTTTAAATGAATTGTGTGCCTCATGTAACAATTTTACAATTTAAAAAAATTCTGGTCAGTGGTATTGTTTGAACACAAACACATGGAAGTCTGTGTGTGAGTTGTTGGGTAATTTCTCTGAATTTTTTTTGTTTTTACATGAATTTCCATTGCCCTACACGACTCAAATGAGGTTGTTTTTTTTTAAAGACTGCCCTAGACTAGGGGGTTTTGATTGTCTAATCATGCCCTTCGGTGAGAGATTGGCTGGAAAGGGAGCTGAACAAAACGAATAATTTGTACACAAAAAAATGATGCCTCTTTCAATAATTCTGGAAGGTTGCAACCTATAATGACACTTTACCGGAGAGTGGGGGGTGGGGGGGTTCCATCAGCTGTTGTGGGACATCATTCTGTCTACATCCCATATTTCGACGGGTGCTCTGTTGTGGATTGCTCCTTCTTTGGTATCAAACATCTATCGGCATCGTCTTTATCTCCCCTCCTTTTTTTGTGTGTTTTGACTCTCTTGTAACACCTCTAATCTTCGGCACTTTTATGACCTTATTGTGTTGCAAGTGCCGTAAAACACTTACTAAAATTTTAAAAAACATCTATTGTCCTTAATCTTGTCCTTTTTCTTGTTTCTCTCTTGTACTACCTCAAATTTTCGGCACTTATATGACTTAATTGTGTTGCAAGTGCCGTAAAATGCTTAAAAAAACATCTTGCTCAAAGTGTTTCCTCTTTCTATTCCATGGGTCTGGGTATGGGCTGTCGGAATATAATTTTTGTGCTTTCTTTTTGCAGGCAGAGTCAACGATTCCAGGTCTCACATATGATCTTGTTCGAGGTCTCTTGAAGAAAGGGGAAGTCTCTGACCGGCTGGACATGTGTGAGACCCTGCTGAGACTGGGCGGAACCACAGATGCTGAAGGTGTTTTTGCCTTGTTGGCTGTGGTTTTCACAGTGCTGTCTTGATCTTTTTTTTTAATGTCCAATTTTAATCCTCTTTCAGACTAGTTTCAAATATTCTATCATCTTTATCTCTCCTCCTTTTTTGTGTTTGTTGCTTTCTTGTAACATCTCTAATCTTATGATTTAGAAAATTGTGCGAATAATTAATCTAATTCACTTGGTGAACAATCCAAATATAATGAAAGTAGTTCCGAGTAGGCCAAGTACCGAGTTCCACATGTGTTTACTTCACCCTCAGCGTACCTTTTTCTCATTTTTGTTTTCCTCCTCAAATTTCTTTCAGAGCTACGTATCCCTCGCACGGAACCGTCTTTCAAGACTCTGTACAAGTGTGCCTGTGACTTGAAGCTTATACTCAGTCGCATCCCCGATCAAATCTACGACAGGAAACAGTTTTTAGAGACCATCAAGTAAGTTCGTTTTGAAGAACTAAAGAAGCAAGTCTGTCTACCGATGTTAATATGATGTGACCCTGTCTGTCCATCTGTGTGTTGATGACCCTGTCTGTCCATCTCCTTGTTGGTGACCCTGTCTGTCCATCTGTGTGTTGGTGACCCTGTCTGTCCATCTGTGTGTTGGTGACCCTGTCTGTCCATCTGATCTTCAGTTTATTACCAGTATATTTTTTGGTCCAGTTTGTCAGCTATTAAAGGTAGAACGGTTATTTGGGGATGATTAACTCTTTTCCTGCCAGGCCAAAATCCCCCACTGACCCAGGGCTTTCCCCTGACCTGTTTTTACTTATATTACTCTAGGGTTTCTAAAGGTGATTATGCGAAATCGAAGGTGTCATATGAAATCAACAATTTTCCAGTTTTAAAAGGTCATATCTAACAAAGTACAACGCCAGCATCGTCCAAACTTCCCAAGTAGGTTTAACCTCAAGTAAGGCGAAGAAATATTGAAAGTTATGTTTGCGTACCTAATATTGTAGTCAAAATAGGAGACATACTGAAGACAGGGGAGGGCTTTTTTTCTCTTACATTTTGAAGGGGACAAAAAAAAGCGCTGTAATGAGTAAGAATCGTCTCTCGGTGCTATATTTTCTCTCTTATCTGCGAACAGGAAGTCTGTTCTATTACTTTGGAAACATGGATCAGCCGAGAATTTTGTGTCTTTTCATTACTGGATTGGAATAGATAG